TCTGCCGTCTCGAATATGATTGGACTTGTGTCTCCAATAATCAGTCTTTAATTAGGTTTTATTAGTTTCTGATGATTAATAAAGGTTTAATCATATCTAATCTCACTTCTTCTGTAGCAGGCACTTTCCTGGTTGATCCCACGGAAGTGCAAGAAATTAAACAGGCCCCATCGTCTCTACGGACTACGGTACCTTTAGCTTTTTCAGGACGAGCAATCAAGTTATTCTTGTCTTTTTGCGGATCAGTGGGCATTTAAGGTCAACCACGTGCTTGTTTCCTTAATAATAAAAAATTACAAAAAATTAATTAATGTACCATCCGGCAAAAACTGAGCCATCACCTTCATTTGTTTTGCTTTCACCAACTAAGATGTACGAAAACAACCGAGCTCTATGTCTGCTGTGGATATTCAGTCTCCACCATCCATTTAATTATTGACTCTTTGAGTCTTTGTTGGTGATGGAATACCAGGACCAGTAGCCTTGGGACTGCACGAGAAATTTCGCTTTTGCTAGTGTGGAGGTGTCAGGTAGGGCTGTCCATCCGGGCCGGGCAAAACCGGAGCCCGGACCCGGTACCCCGGGCCGGCCCGGGTTTTTTAATTTTTTTTAATTTTTTTTAAAATTTTTAAATTTTATTTAATTTTTAAATTATAAAAAAAGACAAAAAAATAATAAAATAATAATAATTTTATTAATCACTTAAAATGACATAAATTACAAATAAAAAATTATAAAATTAAATTCTTTATTAATAATTAATAAATCATTTACAAATTACAAGTATAAATTTATTTTGGAATTCATCGCATCACAATAGATAAGTACATCTCACCTAGGTTTTTTTTAAATTTCTTTTCTTTTTTTTTTGATAAAAAAATAATAATAATTAGTTTAATATTATTATATTTTATATAATTATGTATTAGTATATACTTCTAAATTATTATGTAACTATATATTATATATACATATATTATATGTAAATATATTGTATATATTTATAAGTTATAATTTAAGAGAGAGAGAATCGCATAAGTAACCCTATAGCCGTTGCTCGTTGGGCCAATGGGGAAGTAACCGTTGTAATATACTATACTTATATACTAAGAGAGAGAGTATACACACACACACATATATAAAAGAGTATACTTATATAATAGGGAGTATACATATATAAGAGAGAGTATACTTATATATACATATATACTAAGAGAGAGAGTATATTAGTATATATATATATATATATACACATATATTATACATATATAAGAGAGTGTATACTAATATATACTTATATAAGAGAGAGTATACATATATAAGAGAGAGTATACTTATATATACATATATACTAAGAGAGAGAGTATATATATACATACATACATACATTATACATATATAAAAGAGAGTATTCTTATATATATATATATATATACTTATATAAGAGAAAGTATACTTATATATACTTATACATATATATACTTATATAAGAGAGAGTATACTTATATATACTTATACATATATATACTTACATAAGAGAGAGTATACTTATATATACTTATACATATATATACTTATATAAGAGAGAATATACTTATATAGTAACTATATACATATATAATAACTTATATAAGAGAGAGTAACTTATTATACTTATTACTAAGAGAGAGTATATATATACACACATATGACATATTATACATATATAAGAAATATGTTATATATAAATATATTATATATATACATATATTATACATATATAAAATATATTTATATATACATATATTATACAAATTATATATATTTATATATACATATATAATATAATACATAAAAAAATAAAAAATAAAAAAAACTACTGTTTCAGGCCGGACCGGGCCCGGACCGGCCGGCACAAAGAGCCGACCGGGAGCCTGGACTTGGCCCGGGCCGCGGGCCGTGGGCTGTTTTGGCGCTAGTAGTGATGAGTGATTCCGGTCTTTTATCTTAGGAAATAGGAAACCAAATAAGGAGTAAGTGCTCCAACAATGCTCTCCAATAGCCTCCCTATCTCATGTCCTAGACCAAATATGAGGAGTATGAGGGAGGAAAAGTTGCTCCAACAATGCCTCCCTATGTTGAGACTAAATACAATGAGTCACTTTGTTATCCTTCATTTAGAATACCAAATCCTATTCCTTACATTTAGTCTCCAACATAGGGAGCATTGTTGGAGTAACTTTACCCCCTCCTAGCTACTCTCTATATTTAGTCTAGGACATGAGATAAGGAGGCTGTTAGAGATGCTATTATATGCTAAATTTAGAAGGGAGGGGGTGTAAGTTTTTGGCTTTGGGTATATCTCTTCTCGCGACAACGAGTGATAGCGGAGGGTCTATCTTCTCATCTCAGCATCCACACAGCTGCTATTGCGAAATCGCTCCTGCTGGTTAATTAAATCGAGTAAAAGGAAGGAGAAAGAAGAATGGAAACTCGATCTCAAAGCTGGCAAAATGAAATTACAAGACCATGAATCTCGATCCAGTGAGCCACAATTAATTAATTAATGCCCACTATATATCGGGCTCAGTTAAAGGTCTCTTCATCACCCAGTAGACGCCAAAGGACGTGTAAGCAAGCTTAATTTGGTATGCCATTAAGGATCGGTGATGTGGTTAGCTTGGCATCATCATCAATATCGGAATAAATTAATATCACGAAAAGATTTTTTTCCAATAGAATTAATTAAAGGGGAAAAAAAAGGACGGACGGAAGAAGAGCAAGGCCGTTGGTACGTGCGCATCAAGAATGATATATACTACAATGAAATGCACAGCTCATCAGGTAGCTCAGTGGGTCATTAATGCTGGTCTGGGGTCCTGAACAGCTCAATTTTCAAGTAAGTAAGTTTGAAGGCTGAACTTTGAAGCATATGCCATGTGGGCTTAGAGATTCAGCAACCACTTTGAATGGCTCATTAGACGTCTAAGTTTGTCGGGGGGAATTTTTTAAAATAGCTCACTTTTGCTAAATATTTAGCAAAATAAACCACTTTACTAAATATTTAGCAAAATAGACATCTTCTTGGCCTATTGGCCAAAAAGAAGTCGATTTTGAAAAACAAGGCTTAGAAAACATACTAAACTAGTAGTCTCGTATGTTTAGAAGAAACTTAATCAGCGTTTAGCGGACTCAGAAAACATATGAGACTACTAGTTCCGTATGTTTTCTGAGCATTGTTTTTCAAAATCGGCATCTTTTTGACCAGCTAAATATTTAGCAAAATATATAGTCTATTTTACTAAATATTTAGCAAAAATGAGCTATTTTAAAAAAATTCCCCTTAATTAAGTTGGTCCTCAGGACCCCACGTATTTTGATCTTTCCTATAAATATGATTAGATATGAAACAATGATCCACCGTCGACTAAGCCTTCTGCGCGCCTAACATACGAGAGGTACACGGTAGCTCAGATTGAAAGTATCAGGTTGGTGGCTCCGAAATAGAAGGCGTACCTCTATTTGCCGCACGGTACAGACAAGTGCAAATGTACAGTAATATACCTTCTTTAAAGAGCAAGGTTTCCTCTTCCCCCTAAATATTACATCAGATATAGCATTAATAGTCTCCGTTCTGATGAATAATGTCCAAACTTTTAAGCACTCATCAGCCTTGTCAGTAAAAATTGTAAGGTGCCGGTTTGTCAGGGGGTTAAGAAAGAAATGTCCGAGGAGAAGGGTTAATTTAGTTAACCCTCCGTGAGGGGTTAAAAAGTGATTTAATTCTATTTGGATGATCCACGCTCTTTCATCGGTCTCTTTCGGCTGAAGGATAAGCCTCCCAACTGATAAATTATTTATAAATTGTATTTAACCACAGTTCTGCAGAAATATCGAGTTGTTGTCGACGTCATATATAAGAAAGAGACATCATAATTTAGCTTGAGTACTCAGATTGATGTTTCAAATGTTTTAACGAATGAAAATTATGACTATCTCGCACAAGAAAGAGTAGCAGGTATACCTGTCTCATCACTCATCATGCGTGCACATGTGCAAAAAAAATATTCTATCAGATGGTGTTTCAGGTTCCGCCATTGATAGACTCCAATTTGATCCCAAGGATAGTATATATGAATGTGTGTTATCTTGCATCATAGAATGTGGCACGATAAAGGCTTTTCCCTATGTGTGAATCCCTCCTCATCAACAGAAGCAAGTAACCTTGAAATGGCTTTTATATGAGATCATAGAATTGCACTGAAACAGCATCACTGTAGGAGGAAAACCAGTGGCCTGTTTGACTGCAAATTTGTGACACCCCCGCTTTAGTCCCACATGGACTAGTGTGAAGAAGTGTTAGTGATTTAAATAGAGAATAGTCCAAGGCCCAAGGCCCAAAAACAACTAGTGCTAGCATTTTGGCAGTGGACTGAGACGTGACAAAATGGTATCAGAGCAGTTGCCAGCTGAAAGTGTGAAGCTAAGTGCTATATGGGGCTAAGTGTTACACCCGCGTGAATGCGGTGGGAGCCACCTCTAGGGCCCGTGGATAGCATGGCATTGAAGGCTAAGAATTTCCCTGAATCAGTAAGGGATTCTCTGCAAGCACAAAAGAAAAGAAAGTTTATGCATATATTATAGGTTGACACATATTTAAGATTAGATGCAAATATCAACAGATTATTAGTAGATACTCTGAAGAAATGCAGCAAACCGTAAAGCAAATAGAGACACGTATACTTAGGTTATGCGTACCCATAACAATTATTGGAGGGAAAAAAGGCTTCGTTTTCTATTAGAATCAAATACATTGGTTTTGGCCTCAGCTCTTTTCCCCCCTTCTTTTTTAAATTTCCATAAAAATTGAACAACCTGGCAAAGAAATAATAAATGAAGATATCTGCAGAAAACGATTGGGAATAATGATGATTTTACTGATCCAATCTGTATAGCAAGTGACAAGCCTAGTTTAGTTTGTGAAATTTAAAAACAAATTAAATACTATTAGTGAATAGCTGCTAGTTATCTTTACAGCTACATGCTCCACGCTTAAAATGGTGGAACTTGGAAGAATCCTTGATGACAATGTCTCGTCCTAGAAAAGTTGATAAGAACTTGCAAGCAGAGTGAGAATCTCCACACGTTCGTGTGATCTTAAACACTCGGATTGGTGCCCCTTGAGGTAAAAAACAAAGCCCATAAGCTAATGCCATTAGTTCGGTGTGAAGGAAACTCTTTCCATAGTGATCTACTGAATTATGTAACCAGTCACAGTTATCTGTCATATATCCCAATTCCTCCATCTTCATCCCTATCTCCCTTAATTTAGAAGAAACTTGTTCTATGACTACCTGGCCTGATGCAAATTCAATTATGTTTCCCCTAGTCTCGATCCAGCTTGAGCCTAATATTGAGGTTTTAAATTCAAATCCTGGTGCAAGATTCCGCTTATCTGATTGTAGAAGTACCTGCTCGAGAGGTATATTTGTTGTAAACTTGCCTGGTTCAAGCTGTACAAGCTTCTCTGCTGCTAGTTTAGCAATCCTTATATTTCCACAATTATGACATGAGGAAAGGAGTGTTCTCCAAACTGAAGCAGCAGGTTTAAAGGGAATGGCATTTTTCTAAAGAATGCAGGCGCCACGTACCAGCGAGCAATGACTAAGATTTTCCAAGAACATCTCAAGAAAACAGTCGAGTGCTTCGTTGTTGATTTGGTTGTAAAGAGTCGCAACAAAGAAGACCACATCAAGGACTTGAAGACGATGTTCGATCTTATGCGGAGTCATCAATTGAAGATGAACCCTACTAAATCCTTCCTTGGAATGTCCAGCGGAAAATTCCTTGGATTGAGGAATAGATTTCTGCAGAGGGGTTGATTTTATATACCTCAATCATCAAAGTAAATAGACGGAATGCTTCATCTATAAGGCCCATTTGCCCACAGGCCTTGAAAACATAAAGAAATGTGGTAGAATCTGGTAGTTTGCCCTTTCGAATCATCTTTACAAAGTGATTAATAGCTTCAGATGGGTGGCCATGATCAACATGAGCTGATATTATTGAGGTCCAGGAGTCAGAATTCTTCTCTGTCAATTGGTTAAAAGCATCAACAGCATGTCCCGGTGCTCCACATTTGGAGTACATGTTGATGAGGGAATTATACGTGTTAGGATTACTTGAAAGGCCTCTCTTAGTGATGTAGGCATGGGCTTGGATCCCCGCATTGAGAAGTATCGGGCTCCCACAAGAATTTAGAACAAAACAGGCTGATTTGTGATCAATATGCCCATGAGCCTGTTGTATCTTGTGAAAGACCTTCAGAGTCATTTCATGCTCCTCAGATTTTCCAAAAGCTTGAACCAATGAATCCCAGGAGATCTCCTCGCTAGGAATGGAGCAGCTAAGGTTCAACACTCCTTGGAAGTCACCAAACTTCAAATATAAGTGGACGAGGATATTTACAATAGAAGGATTCCAACTATACCCACTTCTAATTGCATTGCAATGGATCTCTTTCCCATTTTGGAGATATCCAAGAGCTATACAAGCTAGAATAGCAGATGTATAAGTAAATTCATTAGCTCTAACAACATCTAACTGCATTTTTCTGAAGAGATACAGAGCTTCTTGGAACTCAGATTTCCAACAGTAGGCAGCAATTATCGCAGACCACGCCACCGTGTCTGGATTCTGAATTCCAAGGAATAGACGAAAAGATGCCTCAAGCACTCCACACTTAGCATACATATCAATCAATGAACTAATCACAAAAGGGTCCAATTCAATTCCAGCTTTCATTATGCAAGTATGGAACATCTTTCCTACTTCCAAATCCTGGTGCATGGCACAAGATTTTAAAATGCTAGTTACTATAAACTTATCGAGTTCTACTCCAAATGATTGGAAATGTTTCAGGAGATTAAAAGATGTAGTATCTTGACTATCGCAATTAATATACATATCAAGAAGAGCGCTCATTACATAACTGTTTGATGCAAAGCCAGCTCGAATCACATACCCATGTATTTGTTTGCCGTGATGCGTGGATCCTATTCTGGTAACAGCCTGAAGAATGCTACCTAATGTGTAGTCATCGCATTCAGAAGTACCTTCATGCATCAATGTAGAAAAGTAAATCAATGCTTCTTCGCAGCAAGTGCTTTGAGCATGACACGAGATAACTATGTTCCATGATACCAAGTCTTTCTTCAACATATTGTCGAAAACCTTCCTCATTGAGGCTAATTCACCAATTCTCCCATAGAATTCCACCAAGGAGTTAAGCAAGAAGGAAGAATACATGCCCATCTTGATCATATGACAATGGACCTGAACTCCAAGATCAATACAATTTTGATCTGCAAACGCCTTCAAACCGATAGAAAAAACGTAACTATCAAAGTGAATTCCAGTTCGAGCCATCTCCACAAACAGCCTCAAAGCATCAGCCTCATGTCCATTCTTCACCAACCCACTTAAAATAGAGCTCCAAGAAATCAAATCGGGCTGCGAAATTTTCTCAAACACACTCTCCGCATAGCGAAGACATCCACAAGTAGAATACACTTTAACCAGTGCATTTGCAACAAACAAGTCCTGCATATATCCCAGCTTCACAGCCAAACAATGCAGTTCCTTACCGCAATGGAGGCTCCCGAACGAAGCACAGGCCTTAAGTCCAACGGACACAACGAAAGGATCAGGTCGCAAATTGACGAAAGACAGTTCAATCATCATGTCACACAACAACGAGCGGGACTCAACGGCAGGCCCATGTTGAGCGTATCCATCCATAAGGATGGTCCACGACGTTGGGGTTCTCTCCGGCGTTTCATCGAACAACTTGTGGGCATCTTGCATCCTGCCATTTTGTACGTAGTATCTGAGCAATGATATAGAATTGATGGGTCTGACTTGTTGCTGGGTTCTGGGTTTCTTGTAATGGTGATGATGAGGAAGGTTGGGGAGTGAAGGAGGAGAGAGGGAGAGGAGAGAGGGTGGCATGGGAGCGAGTTTATCATCGTTCCTCCATTTTCATCGCCTCCGAGTTTTCTGGGTTCGGGTTTAAAAGATAAAAAAGAGGATAAAGTGGGCTTTCGTGCACACACTTTTGTAGCGACGAAGGGAGCTGGACTCGGATCAAATTGATTTGAATCCGCATCCATTTGTATTTAAAAAGATGGATACGATCAAATTTTTATAGAAAAGAATCCTCCGGCCCCTGCAAGAGTGAAGCAACATCAGAAAGCATTTTGTTTTATGAGATCCCGTAAATAAGAGAAATATCTTAGAAAAAGAGAGCAGAAATCACTGTAGGCCCAACCGATAAGCCGGTTTTATAAACTGAGAGGCCCTCAACCCGATAGCCCATGCTCGGCCCAACTGTTAAGCCCGGGGCTTTTGTGGGAGGCTTTAAGCCCCCATCCTTCCTCTTTCTTTCTCTCTCTCAAAGATCTTCGGATTCTTGGTTGGAGAAGAAAGAGCTCTCTCAATCAAGCAGCAATGGATGGTACGTGACGACGTGTTTCCTTCTTCTCTTGAGCTATTTTGGTAGTTATCAGCAGTTAGTGAAACGATTCATTTGGTTTTATTTTCCCGCGTTCTTAAGTTTGATACAACAATTAGGAATTTCCTGTGTCTAGTCTTATTGCTTTAATTATGATATTGGACTGCACTGGGAGACAACACGCTTCACAGCAATGAAGAGAAATCATGTACTGAATGCTTTAAATTGTATTTAACTGGAACTTTCCGTCTTTTTTATTTTTTATTTTTTATTTTGGGGAGATGAATCAGTCTGCAGTGTACATTGTAATGTCATCTACTCATCGTCATTATTGTTTGTTGGGATTTTAGTTGATTCGCAGCCGACGATGGAAGAAACCATCTTGGTGGGTGATGACCTCATGCTTGGGCCGCCGTCGCCTCTTATCCCCCCAGAGATCGCGTCTCACGTGCTCGAAGGTGTCGATACCTGTGAGAGAATTCTGAGGAATCTTTTCTTGTGTGAGTGTCTTGAACTTTTGACCAATTGTTCGCGCTTTGTATTGTAGTAAGTTTGGTATACACTAGCTAGCTAGGGAAATGTGAGAGATGTATCCTCAGACCGTTGGCTATGTCCATCTTTCAGGTCTACAGATCAATGATATCGAGCCTTTTTGCCAAGATGAGATTGTGTTGTACAGACAGTGTGCCGAGAAAAGGGTCAGATATGTTCGCTTGCATCTTTCTGTGTTTCCCTTTTTTCAATTAAATAACTATGTGATTTATGGGTGGTGTGCTTGGTTCTACTTGCTGTCATAGGATAAGGAGCTGAGGCGACGACTTCAAGAGAGCGAATATAAGCTGGGTTTATCGATGCCCATGGAAGAAGCAAAGGAGAGGGTGAGCCAGCTTCAAGCTTCGGTCACATCCCTAGAGAGGTACAATGTCTAGACTTCCAGTTGAATTTTCCTATATACTTTTATACAGCCTCTGTTCTCCTTTCTATCAGGCAACAAAATATTTTATGATAGTATGGCATTAATTCTTTGCTTATTTTCTGGTATATTGAGGCATTGTTTAGCATCTTGTTTGTTAGTCTGAAGAGTAGATCATCTCCTTACACTGTTTTTTATTTATTAACTGGTCATACCGTTAACCCAATTTATCAAAAATAACAATCTTACTCACCATCTAGATCTTCTATTTTGCCACTCACATCTGGTATAACCAAAGCTATGAATTCTACAAAATCATTGTTATTATAATGATGAAACATGAACATGAATTAGTAAATTGAGCTAGTCATGAAGAAGCCAGTAGCAAATATCTCATTCATCCTAATTACTACTGCTTTCCATCAAATCGAGTTCAATGTTAATTTTTTTTTTTTTTGGATATCTCAAGCATTATATATTCTAAAAAGTGGGCTAGTCTTCTATGACTGAACAATTTATGTATTTCAAAAACACAATATTGGTACAAGCTTTTTTTTTCAAAGTATGGTTTGGTCCCATATAGGCTTGTTTCTGATTCTTTATCTACATAGACAGAAGTATAAAATAAACTTTCGGATCTTATATCCATTCAAGTACCTTATACAATTCAAATACTCTAGGCGCATGATTCTTGCAAGTGGGATGGAAGGAATGGAAGGGTTTCGCCAGCGATGGAGTTTGCATGGTCGCCTTGAAGATACCAAGTAATTCTTCTTACTATTTTCTTAGTTTTTGTGGGGAAGTAGCTGACAACTCATTTATTATTTTTCTACAAATATTTTCGCTTGAGGAATGGCTTTCAAGCATCTATTACGTGATTTTTAATTTTTGAATACTAAAACTTGCTTCTCACATTATTTCAGAAAAAGGTTGGAGTCATTGAATCGGGGAATGGAAAAGAGCAAAGGGGAGGAGACCCCAAAAGTTATGCAAGCAGATCCTGTCAAGAAGAGATGGTTTTTTTGGTAGATATGTTTCTTCTTTTTGTTCAAATTTCATTTCACGAGGTGGTCTCCTTTATTTTGTTAAGTAAGGCACAGGGTTTCTCTGAGTCCCGTTGCATTTGTGTTGCTAGCCTTGGCTTATACACGTGTTCAATATTTTTCCTACTGCTCTTTTTTCATGTTGCATACACATGATCCTACTTGTTAGTCTTAACAATCAAGTACATAAACTATCAGTTCTTTGCTGTTCTGTTAGTTCTGGACATAAATTCTTTAGAACACCATCTTTTGCATGACTCTGTGATCTAAGCATAATAAAACTGCTGGCATGACTGCAAATTTGATCTGCACTTAAGCAGTTGATTTGTTTCATAGCTCAAGGATTGGCTTTCAGCTCAATATCTGATTGTGAAGATGTAAGGGCTGTGTTGAATTTTTTGACTGCAAAAAGATGTGAGTGTGAGAAAGAAAGCTGTAAGCCCTAATTCATTATCAATAAAGGCACAGGTAAAGTTACAGAACGTTTAGGCATAGACTATTGTTTTGCTCTCTCTTCCTTTTGTACTTAGCATCCCAACATCCTTTAGATATGTGGGTCTTGACGTGAGAGGTGTATAAGAGATTTTCTCTCTGTGGTGCTCATAGCAAAAATGGAATCTACATGCAACTATAATATGTCAAAGCACTTTGTTCTCTCTATAGGAATGGAATGTGTGATATGCATCATCAAGTTAGTATTGCTCTCATGGGAGTCCATGTGTCCCTTCAAATGAGACCGATACTTATCAGCTGTGGCAAATTCATACAACAAAGAACCTTCACCATATGACTTTTTTTTTTGATGAAAATTTTCCTGTCAGAAACAATCTTTATCAAACATCCTCCTGATGACCTTATATACCTATTTTCCTTATGAAATAGATTTAGTGTGGAGGCTTCATGTAAAATTAATCAGAGGATAAAGACTTCCAGCTATCTGAGACAATCACCTGAACCTGGCAAAGAGGTGCGCAACCACCCCATCCGCAGCAAAACAACATTCAGTCAGGGTGACAAGTGTGCTTTTGAGATATTCAAAAGAAATGCTTTGCAGCTTGTGGGTATTCTCTAATTCATAATCTTGTGAGAATAAGCACATTTAGGAGTCTTGTTACCTGAATGTTTGTTGCCTAATTCAGTGACTAAATGATTTCAATTGTTGATGATTTCCTAATTACTGCTGACATTCAACTTTTGATAATAGTTTAATTCACTATCCAAACTAGGTACGCTAGCTTATTGCCTCCTGAGCTTCTGGACTGTTTATCTAAGAGAAATTATTACTATTATACTGTAGTAAATCTGCCTGTAATAACAAGAAGGGCTTTGTTTTATTTCTATCTATGAAGCACGGACACACATAACATGAAGCCGTGTCGTGTCGTGTCCGTGTCGGACACACGTGTCGAACACACGTATCCTATGTATTTTTTAGGATTTGTCTCGTGTCGGCGTGTCGGATGGCCGTGTCGGATGGCCGTGTCGGATGGCCCTGTCGGATCCGTGTCCGTGCTACATAGATTTCTATATCACTCAAGCAAGACACGACAATTTTGTTTTATTTCCAGACTTAAAGCATAAGAGCCCGACATTTGTACTGCAACGTTTTCATTAATAGAGTACGCCTTTCATAGCAATATTCTACAACATTTTCATTATTAGAGTACACCTTTATAACATATATTCACAAACCATACTGTAGAAGGACATCTAATCATCATTACCTTCACATCCTTTATTTTAGTTTTTTCCGTCACGGCGAATGTTCTTCTCCAGCTGCATCAAGAAAGAGTACCGGAAAAAAAGAAAAAGAAAAGACTTTTAGAAGTTTAAACTAATAAAGCAGAATAGAAGGATACATATTCAATGGCTATCAAGATATATCATCTCTGGTATCTGATAGTGTTTCCCCTTTCCTATTATCCGTAATGAATATATATACCTTTCTTTTCTTTTCTTTTTTCTTTTTTTTTCGCGTAAGGTTGTTTTTCTTTCAACTTTGCAGTATAGAGATTGTATTAAATACCTTAGACCAGTTTGTGGGCTATAAACCCTGGATTTCTGCTAGCTTTCTGCCTTGTTACAATATATATAATTATATGTGCGTGTGTGTATCAATCATGATTAATTTATAAACAAGTATTTATTGTTCCTGCTTGTAACATTAGTAACCTTCTAAGAGAAGAGTAGGTCTTCCACACCAAAAGGAGATTATACCTGAAAAGAAAAGGGGGAAAAAACACTTGAAAATTACCTTCACAATTGTCTCGAGTTTGTCTCGTGTATGCTGAAATTCATGCTTGATGCCCTGTAACACCTCCATGCATCTGTTTGGTTGAAAGAGAGCCAAGAAAAAGAAATATAATGTCATTAACAAAAGACTATTACAATATGTTTGATGGTTGTAGTAGATGGGGATAAAGAAAGCGAGGCAAGGCTGATTAAGTGTAGGCAGTTTGAAAAAGGTGAACTAAGAGAATCAAGCAAAAAATAAAGAGATGGACGTTTGATATTTTTGATTTTGAAACAACATAATAGCTTTCTTTAGTTTTTCTCATCCTTGAAGATGCTATGATAAAAACTATTTGTGCTATCTTCTCTATTAGCATGTGAATCTCTATGCTTGATCCAGGAAGCTCGGCTCCTTAAAAACTCATATACTCGACCTAAAATTTAATGTTGTATAATTGACTATCAAAAATATTTTGGCCAACCCCTTCCCTAGAAAGAAATATATAAAACTTTCTTTCATTTCAGTGAGAAAATTGGAAACTATAGCTAAACCTACACATTATCAGAATTTCGTGTTAGTTCGATTAAAATTTGTTACCGGTCCTTGTCATTTTCCTTGCAGTATTGAATCAAGGGACGGATGGCATTTTTCATATTGTAAGCTCCCATCCTGCAAAACAATTATCAAGACAACCAAATAAGTGAAAGCTTTAGTTTCCATAGGGTAATAGTTTTGAAAAATGCAACTAAGGCTATAATAGTGTAAAGTTACTCGGAAACTCAACCTAGAAATCAAATTACTGAAGTTATTTTCCCAAAGTCTTTCCCCAAATTTTTGTATTTTAATTTTAGCATAAGTAATTGGATCCTTGAGCAATATCTGAACTTATATCTGCTAGTATGATGCAATCCTAGAGTGTATGCAATTGGATATAGTTGCGTTTCATGTTTGCCTCATTCCTTCATGCCCAAACATAGATAATACTCATTGTATCTAGCCTTTCACTTCCAACTTGCACATTCTGTAGAAGCTATCCATTTCCAGGGGAAAAAAGGAATTAATAGTAAGCATCTAACTTGACTTTTCTTGATCAAGTTGAACATAAAATATTCTGATGCATAGATTGGTCTCAAAAAGTCCCATATCACCGATGATAACCGATGATAAAGGACCACGTTCATATTTCTCCAGATACGATAACGTTTTCGTTCACATGCATCACGTGCGCAAAAAAAAACTAGTTAAATGTAGAACTAATGAACAAGGTTATTCCTTACTACAATCAGTATACAACGAGCAAAATTGACCTGCTCGTTGTGGCGGCATTTGCGTGTAAACAATAAAAAATGTAGTTTAAGTATTTGACCTAAAAATAAATTGTACACCCAATTCTTTGAATAGAATAGCAAGTTAAAGTGAAATATATCATCTTACAATGATACAAAACTACTAACATACAACAGTTTAAAATTAATTCCTTAAAGTATGTTAGAACTAAGGTGATCTAGAAAGTGTGTAGGTCTAAAAGTAAATGAAGGTAAAACTTTCGTTTTAGAGATAAAAATTCATTTTAAAAAGTGAGTGAGTTAAAAAATTAATGAAGCAAAAAAAACACTACAGTTTACTATGTTGTGATATTAACATGGAAAAAGTTAAAATATAATGGTTAAGATATCTTGTTACATAGTACACCTAATCATTTTAGGAAAAATTACTATGAATATGAGCGTGCTCAAAAAATAGAGGGGAACTTTAGGCTTAGGGCCAAAAAATAAAAAAAACTTTATGTATTAAATATTTAGTTAAAAAATACATCGTACTGACCACTTAAAACAAAAATATAATGACTCACAATGTATACCGAATCGTTGAAATACAAAATAGATTTAAAAATAATGTTGAGTATTTTGTGTTTAAGAGTAGCTTTGGAAATGAGTGAATTTAAAAATAAATAGTATGATTTTGGATTTAGAACGAAAATATACAAGGTTATAACAAAATATTCTCACATATAATGAGCGGTGAGAATGTAAAGTGAGTTTGAGATTTGTTCGAATGAGTATTTTGGATCTTAAGAGTAATCTTGGAGGTGACTTTAATAATAAATGAAGGCAGTATTTTGGGTGTATACATAAGAACTCCTTTTAAAAAGAGAATAAGGGTAAAAAGGCAATAGACTAAAAATTTGAATTTATAACAAAAAAAATATTTTCGACGCCATCTCATTGGCATGGAAAAAAAAAAGAAAAAATGCAACATTGTTAAGTATCTTATTGATAAAATATATGATGTGCCAAAACAATAGGATTTCTATGAAAACCACCCCTATAAAAGTGGGGTGGTTTTCTAGGGGTGGTTTACACTATTAATAGAATAATCATAATTTACAAACTAACCATTTAACAACCAGTGGTATAAATTACCCTATTAGATAGGGTGTTCTGATAGAATCTCTACTCTATCTAATCACTTAGAACAAAATTTTACAAGCTAAAATAAAATATAACAACTTACATTACATGTATAGAAAACTACCAGAATATTTTTGATTTAGAAAAAAATTCTTTGCACAGTGGGTGAATTTAAAAATAAATGAGCATAAAACCTTGAACTTATAGGGAAAAACTTATCTACCATTTACGACATCGCAACAATGTGAAAAAAAAACTAAAACAATGCTTAGGCATTTGGTCTAAAACATTGTACACCTAGATTCTTAAAAAAATATAGCGAGTCAAAGTGGAATATAACAACTTGAACCATATGTACAAACTGTCACAAATTGAGCTTAAAAATAGGTTGATGTAGTTTTTTGACTCTTAAGAGTGATTTTTGAGGTGTGTAGTTTAAAAATAAATATATCTCATACTTTAGATTCATAATAAAAAAATCCTTGTAATGGGTAGGTTTGAAAATAATAAGGATAAGATGTATAGCTAAATAATTAATCCATAGTTGCAACTTATGATATAACCAATTTATGAAATATAAATTAAGTTTAAAAGTAATTCA